AGCACGGAGCTGGGGCGGAGGCGCAGCCTGGCCACGGTCCCCCCTCGCAGGGGCCACGCGTGCCCCAGGGACCCACATTGGGGGGAGTCCCCGGCACCCCTGGGGGGGACAGGGAACCAGGGGCAGTGCTGCCTGGAGGACAGGGAACTAAACCAGCTGTGATGCTCTTCTGCTGGGTGAGCTCAGGCGAGTCAGACCACCTTCCCTGCCTCAGTTTCCCCATCTGCAAGGTCTCTGCACCCTCCTGATTCTCTGAGCATGGCTTCAGTGAAGGGTGCCACATTCCAGTACCCAAAACACGAGTGGGAAGTGCCCAGGGTGAGTGGCAGGGGGTGATGCTATCTGGGGGAGTATGTGGGAGTTTGGGGGGGTAGGTCTTGGAGGGTACACAGGGGTTTAGGGGTATGGGAGAGAACTCAGAGCAAATTTGGGGGGTCCTAAGTGAATCTGTGGGGTTCTCAAGGAGTATTAGGAGGGCTTGGGGCTGTTAAAGGGGCATGGGGTGTGTGCATGGGGCCGTGGGGATCCTCAGGGAGTCTGGGCAGGGGTTATGGGTGTCATGATGCCCTGAGGCAGATGTGAGGGGGAAGTAGAGCCACCCCTGCCCACTCCCTGTGCCTGTGGGGAATCCCCAACACCCCCCCCTCCCCCATCATGATTTATGAAGCTAATTGATTTTTCTGCCCCATTAATTGGAGGAGAAGGAGAGGGAGGGAAGAGCCCAGGCTGTGCCTGTGTTTTCCTCACTGGTACTGCCAGAGCAGGACGAGGCTGTGACAAGAACAGGACAAGAACTGTCACTGGTGACACATCCACAGTGCCAGCGACCTACTGATGTGGGGTGCGGAGACCTCCGGGTGCAAGCCCCATGTTTCCTCCTCTGCAGTGATCATGGCAGAGCAGGAGGGAAGGGCCAAGGCACACCAAGAGGGGCTTGCTTTAACCCAGGGTGGACTTGGGGTGGGCAGTGGGGATTTGGCAGCACCCACCTGGTACGGACATGAGTGCCAGGGGCCCCAACCGGTGCCAGCGGGTCTCACTGGTGCACGGTCTGTGGGTGAGGCAGGGAGACATCAAACCCTCTGGCTCCAGCAGCACCAGCTGCGGAGAAATGGTCTGGGGATGCTCCTCTGCAAAGGGGTCTGCGCCAGTGCTTGGTGCCAGTACCAGTGTTGCTGGAGCTGCTGTGGCCAACTGTAAGTCCCTGCCATCATCTCACACCAGACTCCTGGTTCTGGTGGGGTCAAAGCTGCCTTTCCTGGTGGCTGTCGCGCTGGGCTGTGCCAGGCTGGGTTCCCCCCCATTACGGGTGTCCCAAGGCCAGATTTGGGCCCCGCGGAGTCCAGGGTTGCTACTCCAAGCGCTGCCGTGGTGAGGCCAAGGCAGCCGGCTGGGAGAAGGGGAGGAAAGGGAGAGCAGTCCAGCTGCGTCGGCGCACACCGACACGGGGTTGTCACCCCCCGGCAGGGCTGGCTGTGGCGGGGGGTACCACGCTGGGTGGTGTCACCACTGTGAGCTCCAGCCAAGGGCTGGCCGAGAGCCGCCGTGGGGGTGGTGGGTGCGGGACTGGGTCTGGTCTGGGGGTGGTTGGGCCCCCAAGTCGTGCATCCCTGGCCCTCCCCGGGGTGCCGCAGCACTTTGCCTCGCCGGGGCAAGCACCGTGCAGCCGAGCGCTGGGGCTGGGCGGCCAGGAGGGAGCCAAGAGGCGTTGCCGTTGCTTCGAGGAAGGCGAGAGGAAGGAATTACTTATTTCCCAGCCCGCAGGGACCGAATCTGTTTTGCCAAGGTTGCAGTTAACCCTCTCTGCCCGCCGCGGCCGGGCTGGCGAAGGTGTCCCCGCTGTCACCGTCCCAGCGAGGACCCAGCCCTGGCGTGCAGCTCCTGCTCTGCTGCAAGAGGGAGAGAGAAAAAAAAGCCCAGCAGTAGGCTTTTTGATCGACGAAGCACCGAACGGTGCAGGCGCGGGTGCCCTCGCAGGAGCTGCTGTCCCGACACCCGGGGCTAGGCAGGGACAGAGACCCCCGCGGGAGGTGCTGCCTTCGGGGAGGAGGGGCTTGGGGGGCACTGGTGCCATGCTGTGGATTGCACGGGGGGTCGCTGGTGGGGACGTGTGGGCTGGGGGGCCGCCGAGCTGAGACTGGGGAGGGATGTGGGGACGATTGGGGCGGGGGGGGGGGAACCGGAGCTGGCTGTGGGGACGCGTCCGCGGGGCTGTGGGAGGGGGCGGGGGGCGGGGGTGCTGGGCAGGGGCCGCTGCCGCTTTAAGGCGCGGGCAGCGCGGGGCGGTCCCGCCGCCGCCCCTCCCGCCCGCCCCGGCGGGGCCGCGCCGCCGCGGGCAGCACCATGCTGCGGGCGGGGGGGGCCGCGCCGCGCCCCGCGCTTGGCCGGCAGGTACCGGGCGGGGACGGGCGGGCACCGGCACCGGCACCGAGCGGGGGGGGGGTCGGGCGCGGCGCGGCCGGAGCGTGGCCCCGGTAGACAAAGCCCCGCGCCCCGGGGCCGTCACCACGGGCGGTGCTTTGTCTCGGCCGCGCTGCGGGGAGGGGGGGGGAGCGGAAAGGGGGACCCGGGTAGCGCGGCACCACCCGCGACCGCAGCATCGGGGCGGCTCCCCCCCGAGACCGGGAGCGGGATGAGCCCCCCCGCACCTGCGGGGTTCCGGTACCCCCGGCCGGCGGAGCTGACCCCGCCGGGGCGGCCGGGCTGCGCGTCCCGCCGCGGGGCTGCGGAGCGGGGTGCGGCTGCGCCAGGGAGGGAGCGGAGCATCCCCGCGCAGCGGGGCAGCGCCGGTCCCTGCTCCCGCCGAGGTGCAGCCACCTCCCGGGGTCGGGGTGTGCATCACCGGGGCCCTCACGCCCGGCCGGTGCCGAGGAGCCCGGCGGGACGGTCGCGCTGCCGCAGCCCCGGCCTGGCTGCCGCTGCTGTCCTGGAGCGCCCGGTCCCTGGGAGCTGTCACGGGCAGAGGGGTGCAGGCTCCTGCGTGTCCCGGCGCATCGCCGCCTTCGGGGTGGGTTTGGTGCGGCGCCGGCTGAAGGGCGGTGGGGAGTTGCTCTGTGTAAGATGGAGGGGCTGGAGCACAAAGCAGGAACGGAGTTTTGCCCCCACCAGCGTGGCTGCCCCCCGTTTGGGGTCTGCGGGGGGCACTCGGGTGGCCTCAGCGGACGAGGATTGGGGTGCCAGGGCTCGGCCACGCTCTGAGTTTGTGTTTGTTGAGGGGCTGTCGGTGCTGCAGTGCAGCCTGACTCAAGGCTTGCCTTGCTGTGCCCGCTACAGCATAGGCATGCCAGTTTTGGGGACCCCTCAGTGTGCCAGCCATGTGCCTCATAAGAGAGCCAGAGACAGCACACGGTGGGCAGCTGGCGCCCAAGCCTCACCCCGTGGCTCGAGTGCTTTTGGGATGTCACCTGTGACCTTCCATGTCACCATTCCTTGGCATGGGGTTGCTAAGGAGAATCGGGGGACACCTCCTGCCCCAGTTCAGCCCCTGTGCCTGTGTCACCAGGGCTCTCCAGCTGCCTGGGGCCAGAGCAGCAGGGGCTTCCCATGCAAGGCTGGGAGAGCATTTGGGGTTTGCCCTCCCAGGCCATGAAAGCCAAGCTGAAGGGACCCAGCACTGCATTTGGTCGCAGCCGTGTGCCCACAGGATGCAGCTCACCGAAGCCCTGCCTCGCTCCCAGCGCTGCCGGCTGCAGGGGTGATGCTAGCCTGGGGGAGGAGCTTTGCTTAGTTGCTGTGGGGTGGGGATTTCTGTCCCGGTGAGAAGTCACACGCAGCACAGGAGCTGGTGGTGGGAGATGATTGGAGCAGGGTAGCCCAGCAGTACGTCCTGGGCATGTGGTTGTAATTAAGTTCCTTCCTGGGCAGCGGTGCCTGTGGGGCTCTGTCCCAAAAGCTGGGATGGGGACGTAGGGGACTGTGTCCATCATGGCTCTGGCCAGTCCCCAGTGTCTGGGAAGAGCAGCATACGTGGGGCTGGTTGGAGAGTGCTGGAGCTGCCTGTGTTGCTCCATCCTGGCATTTGCCCATCCTGGAGGGGATGGTGGTGGCTGTTGCTTGTGCCCTGGCACCCTGGTTGATAGAGGCCCGGTTGGCCTGTCCTCTGCCAGGCCACACTGTTCAGTGTCACTTGGGTGATGCTAAGTGGCTTCACCTCCTGCACCTCTGTGGCCCCAGTGTCGGGGAACGGGCATCTCCAGCAAGGACTGGGGCTGGCCAGTGCTCCCCAGCTCCGTTCCCCTTCTAGGCTGCTGCTTGTTGCTCCCAGCCTCTTGTAGCCCCCTGAGAGCCTGCAGGGCCTCGCTGACCTCCTCAGCTGCTGACCTGAAAGGGGCCGTGCTCATCCTGCTGGAAAATGCTCCGTGTCCGTCTGTGCTGGATCGCTGCAGGCACAGCCTCCTGCTGCAGAGCCAGCCGGGCCCACGGGGTGCACAGGCAGCTGCTGCCCCAGCACCCTGGAGATGGGCTTGTGCACAGTCCGCTGAGCCACTGGCGTGGAGCAGCCGCCGTGGCGTGGCAGCAGTACCCGTACCCACTGCCTGTGCCCGCTGTGGGTGGTGGCTGCTGGAGATGGGGGAGCAGGGTGTGGCAAGGCGGTGGGTTGGGGGTGGATGCTGCGGGGTGTCTGGTTTGTTTACTCTGGCTGGTCCCTGCCCTTTCCGGCAATCCTCCCGACCCTCTCGGCGGGGCATGTCACAGGGGGTTGGTGCCAACTGTGGTGCTGCTGGCCCTGCCCGCGTGGGTGCTGGCCTCCCCGCGCTGTGCAGGTACCCTCCATCCCCAAAAAACCCCTAAAGAGGCCTTAATGGGGACATGCGGGGTCACTGTGCCAGGTGGGGTTGGAGCCAGCCCAGCTCCCTGCCATGGCCCTGCAGCGGGTGCTACCGGGAGCTGAGGTTTGTGCCCTGGCAGCCCCTGGAGCGGGGAAATCCCACAGGTTGCAGGACCCACCAGGCAGTGCTGGGGCTGGGCAGGGGGGTCTGATGTTGTCTCTGCCCTTGCAGCTGGGATGAGAGCAGCTCCATCAGCAGCGGCCTCAGTGATGCCTCTGACAACCTCAGCTCGGAGGAGTTCAACGCCAGCTCCTCGCTCAACTCCCTGCCCTCCACCCCCACTGCTTCGCGGAGGAACTCGGCCATAGCGGTAGGTGCCTGTGGCACCCAGACCCTTCCTAACACTGATTCTGGCTTGGTGCCACTGCCTCTGTGGGAAAGAGGGAATGGAGGATACTGGCTTGGGGAAACTGAGGCATGGCCCAGGGTGTCCACCCCTCTCCCGGCTGGCTGGTGCTCCCTGTGGATGGGTTTGGGGCGGGTGCCAGGAGCGCCCCTGACTCTGCTCCACCCACAGCTGCGCACGGACTCTGAGAAGCGCTCTCTAGCAGAGAGCGGGCTGAGCTGGTACTGTGAGGGCGAGGAGAAGGCGTCCAAGAAGCTGGACTACGACAGCAGCAGCCTCAAGATGGAGCATGGCTCCTCCAAGTGGCGGCGGGAGCCCTCGGAGGGCGGCGAGGAGGGGCCCAAGGGCGGTGAGCTGAAGAAGCCGGTCAGCCTGGGCACCCCGGGCTCCCTCAAGAAGGGCAAGACCCCTCCAGTGGCCGTGACCTCCCCCATCACTCACACGGCCCAGAGCACCCTCAAAGTGGCAGGTGAGACCCAGTTCAGGCAGGGTTACGCTCCTCTGGTGGGCAGAGGGTTGGGTAGTGTCTTTGTGGGCCTTCCCTGAGCACATCAGCCACGGGGTGTCCTGTGGCTGTGCTTGGACCTAGCAGCTGGCCGTGGGCAGGGCTGTGCATCCCTGCAGGCAGGCTGTGGGTCCAGCCCCACGCTGAGCCCTGCTTGCCCAGGGCTGTGCCTGCCCCACGGCCTCGTGGCCACGCGTCGGGCTGGAGGCTAACTGGATGCACCGGGGGCCTGGCCGTGGCTCTGCCCCAACTCCTGGGATGGTGGCACATCCCTTCTGCATCACATCCCTGCATCTCTGATGCCACTGTCCTGTCTGGGCTGTCCTGTCACACCCAAATGTCATACCCAAAGCCACCTGGGAGACTAACCCATCCTCCCCTGCCCACTAGGCAAGCCGGAGACCAAAGCCACCGACAAGAACAAGCTGTCTGTGAAGAGCACAGGCCTGCAGCGTTCCTCCTCCGATGCCAGCCGTGACCGCATTGCTGATGCCAAGAAGCCACCCTCAGGTCTCACACGCCCCTCGGCCTCCAGCTCCTTCGGCTATAAGAAACCAGCTCCTGCCACTGGCACGGCCACTGTCATGCAGGCTGGAGGCTCAGCCACGCTTGGCAAGATCCAGAAGAGCTCCGGCATCCCCGTCAAGCCAGTCAGTGGGAGGAAAACGAGCCTGGATGTCTCCAACGCAGCCGAGCCTGGCTTCCTGGCCCCAGGGGCTCGTTCCAATATCCAGTACCGCAGCCTGCCCCGGCCAGCCAAGTCCAGCTCCATGAGTGTGACCGGTGGCCGCGGTGCCAACCGGCCGGTCAGCAGCAGCATCGATCCCAGTCTGCTGAGCACCAAGCAGGGCAGCATCTCGGTGTCGCGGCTCAAGGAGCCGTCCAAGATTGGCGCCGGCCGTGGCACACCGGCACCTGTGAACCAGACGGACCGCGAGAAGGAGAAGGCCAAGGCCAAGGCGGTAGCACTTGACTCTGAGTGTGGGACGCTGAAGAGTGTCAGCTCGCCTGAGAGCACCCCAAAAGCCCAGGCCAACCTCCCGCCGGCGGCCAAGGTGGCCGAGCTGCCCCCCACACCTCTCAGGTACGATCCTTCCACCTCCAAGGGCAGCAGGTGCCTGGCATGGCTGTGCCCAGCACCCAAGTCTCACCTGCTTCCTAACCTGTTTTCCTCCTTCCAGAACGGCTCCCAAGAGCTATGTGAAGCCTCCCTCGCTGGCCAACTTGGATAAGGTCAACTCCAACAGCCTGGATTTGCCCTCCTGCAGCGAGCTGCACCCTCCACACGCTGCCAAGCTCCAGGACCTGCACTCGGCCGGCGGGCACCTCGCACCCTGCTTCAGCCCCAGTCCTGCCCCAATCCTCAACATCAACTCGGCCAGCTTCTCCCAGGGTCTGGAGCTCATGGGCAGCTTCAGTGTCCCCAAAGAGGGCAGGATGTACCCCAAGCTCTCAGGCCTGCACCGCAGCATGGAGTCCCTGCAGATGCCCATGAGCCTGCCCAGTGCCTTTTCGGGGGGCAGCACCACCACCCCCACCCCTGCTGCTGCACCCCCCGCCAGCACGGAGGAGGAGGAGGAGGAAGAGGCAGGGGAGCTGGGCTGGAGCGGGAGCCCCCGGCTCGCGCATTTGGACAGGTATGGCTAGAGGGAGGGATGGGGCTGCCAGGGCACCTCTGTGGGCTCAGACCCCTCCCTGCCATGACCTTTGCCTGCTTCAGAGGCTCCTCCTGCTATATTTCTCAGGAAAAGCTCCCTGTCCCCGCAGCTCAACCCCCATGGTACCTTCCCTTGTCTGTGCAGGGATGTCACTGATCTTTCCTTCTCTTCCAGTGCCAACCGTGACAGGAACACACTGCCCAAGAAAGGGTTGAGGTAAAAGAGCCCAAATCACTTTTGGACGGCGCTGGGGAGGGAGGGTGGGCACGTGGAGTTTTCCACCGGGGGCTGGTGGTGCCCTCCTTGCTGGGGCAGCTGGGCCACAGTGCAGTGGGCAGGAGCCAGGACGGTGCTGGTCCACCTCACCGTGCCTGACTCTGCTCCGCTCCCCAGGTACCAGCTCCACTCCCAGGAGGAGGCCAAGGAGCGGCGCCATTCGCATGCTGTCAGCAGCGGGCTCCCCGAGCCGGACGACCAGCAGGAGCTGCCCTCACCCCCCACCCTCCCCATGGCACTGGTTGGGAAGGGTCCACTCACCAGCATCGGTCAGTGCCCTCCGCTGCCAGCCCCCTTCTGCTTGTGGCAAGCCCTGTCCCTCCTGCTCCCCATCACCCCGTGCTCCCTGTGTGACTTGCTGATGCTGCCCTGGGTGCTGCTTTTCTCCTCGACACCCCCAGCAGCCCTAACACCCAGCCCCTGGTGCTTTTGGTCCGCTGAGGTAGATGCTGGGTTGTGTCCAGGGATGTTCCTCATCTCCACTTCAGGGTATCTCAGCCGCCTTCAGGGCTCTGCCCACAGCTCCCTGCTTCTCTGGGTGTGCCCAGCAGGACAAGGGGTGAGCCTTGCCCTGCTCTTTCCAGGACCTGTGTGTTCTGGGAGAGTTTTGGGGGGTCCAGGCAGATGGGTTGAGGCCGCTGGTGGAGGCAGCGGGTGATGAGGTGCTCCCTTCCTGCACCCACAGGTGACAGGCTCTGGCATGGTGATGCCCATTTTGCCCTGGGGCAATGAATTTGTTTCTCAGCCCTGTGGTTACCTTGGTGCTGGTGTCCAGGTCTTCCCAGCATAAATCTGTGTTTTAGCTTTTCCCCAGCCACCCTCTGCTTTGGGGCCACATTTCTTGCTTCCTCTCTGCATCCTCATCCTGATCCCAGGTCCCCGGCGTGATTCTGACCCTACCCCTCCCCTGCCTTTTCCTTGCAGTGAGCCCCACTGCCACCGCAACCCCGCGGATCACCCGCTCCAACAGCATCCCCACCCACGACTCCACCTTCGAGCTGTACAGCACGTCCCAGATGGGCAGCACCCTCTCCCTGGCTGACAAGCCCAAGGGCATGATCCGCTCAGGCTCCTTCCGGGACCCTGTGGATGATGGTGAGAGTATGCTGCGCTCCTGCCCAGGTGGAGGGGGCTCCTGGGGGGGCGGCGGGGCTCCCTGCACACTTGTCCCATTCTTCTGGGGCTGCTGCAGCGCTGTTGGATGGTTTGGTGCATCCTGTTGTTGGCATCAGAGCAGGGGACAGCAGCCCCAAGGGGTCTGGTGGACCCCTCTGTGCTGGCATCTGCCCTGGGCCACAGCCCGCCCTGATCCCCATGGGTGCCTGGTGTCCCTGGGTTGGCCCCAGGGTGTTGTGACACTGGGGAGGTGAGGACCCAAGCAGCCAGGGAGGGTGGCAGAGCCCCCCAGGCTCACCCAGAGAGGAAGGTGCAGGTGGAGGGTGCTCCCCACACCCTGCTGCACACCACATGCCTGGGGAGGTCACCAGCCACATGCTGAGAAGCTGGCAGTGCTGAGCAGCTGCCGTCCTACCCTCTGCCTCCCCCAGCCCCCCACAGAGCCCCCCTCCCCCGTGAGCTCTGTCCCCCACACCCTGCTATGCCCTGCACCTGCAGCCCCTGGGGATGCCGCTGGCCAGGGGCACCCTGACATGACAGGTTTTATTCTGTTGCAGTTCATGGATCGGTGCTGTCCCTGGCCTCAAGCGCGTCCTCCACCTACTCCTCCGTAAGAGCCACCTCTGTGCTGCGCTGCTTTGTGCATGGCTGGGGGGGCCCGGGTGGGAACGGGGGGAGCTCTGTGCATGCCTCTGCCTCGTGCTGAGCCTGTCCATGCCTCGCTGCCCTCCTGACTGCCTGCCTCTGTCTGTCTGTCTCTCTCCGCTCTTGCGCTGCCAGGCTGAGGAGAAGATGCAGTCCGAGGTGAGCCTGCACCCTCTGCTCATTGCCTGCCCCTGCCACTGTGGCGAGGGTGAGTGCCTCTCTCACCTCCTCTCACTCCCTCCACTCTCTCCCCACAGCAAATCCGCAAGCTGCGCCGTGAGCTGGAGTCCTCGCAGGAGAAGGTGGCCACCCTGACATCCCAGCTGTCTGCTAATGTGAGTCACTGTGTCCTTGCGATGTGCCGAGGCTGGTGCTGCCTTGATTCCCTCTCTCCAGCCTCTTGCCTCCCACACCTGGCAGGGGGTGCTCGCCCAGCTGAGGGTGCTCACCCATTTCTCCACTTCTCCCAGGCTAACCTGGTAGCAGCTTTTGAGCAGAGCCTGGTGAGCATGACATCCCGCCTGCGGCACTTGGCCGAGACCGCTGAGGAGAAGGTGGGTGCTGTCGGGGTGCTGACTGGGCACTGGAAGGCACTGGCAGTGCAGAAGGGTGCTCATGGGGCTGGGGGATGCTGGACTGCGGCACTGCCCACCCCAAGGGTGCTCTCGGGGTGGGCCCTGCACTATTGGGATGTGCTCCACGGTTCCCATCTCTGCTCCCCCAGGACACAGAGCTGCTGGACCTGCGAGAGACCATCGACTTCCTGAAGAAGAAGAACTCAGAGGCCCAAGCTGTGATCCAGGGTGCCCTGAACGGCACCGATGTCACCCCCAAAGGTAGGGCGTGGTGCTGCAGCCCCCCCACCACAGGCATGCAGCCCTTCTTGAGGTATTTGCCCAAACCCAGCTGGGCTGCTCCTGCCCGGGGCTGGCACAGGGCACCAGGCCACACCTCACTCGCATAAGGCATTCATGTGGGATTCAGGGTCCCCTGGGCAGCAGCTCTTCCCCACCTGGGACTCCTGAGCATCTGAAGCCAGGGTGGAACAGCTATAGCTGTCACTGCAGGAGGTCTCAGCACTGGTGTAGGAGGTGAAGGGGATGGTATTCCCCCCCGCCCCAGGACACCTCCTCACTGGACCCTTTGCAAGCACAGTTTTGGCTGCTGATCTTGGCTTTGTCCCCATGAGTGCTGTTTCTAGCCCCGAAACCCCAATGTGAGTGGAAGGTGCTAGCAGGGCAGTGGCTGGGGATAGGGGCAGAATGGTGTGTGCTCTTTGGCATCTCCCTAGAGCTTGAGGTCACTTTTCTGAATGACAGTGAGCATGTGGTATCTGAGACCCATGTCATCTTACGAGGTGGCTCCAAGAGCTTGGAAGGTGTTTGGGTGAGAGAAGGGAAGTGGCACAGGGAGGAGAGTGCAGGTGGCTCTGGCGTTGGGGCAGACACAGTTTGCTGATGCCTCTTTTCCGAATCTCTCCCGCTTCTCTTGCTGGCCCCAGAGCTGCGCATCAAGCGGCAGAACTCCTCTGACAGCATCTCAAGCCTCAACAGCATCACCAGCCACTCCAGCATCGGCAGCAGCAAGGACGCCGATGCCAAGAAGAAGAAGAAGAAGAGCTGGGTGGGTTGGACAGGGCACTGGCAGGAGGAGTGGGGCTTGGGAAGCCTCTGGCAGGGTCTGGCCGGGATCAGCCCCATGGGCCAGCTGCTCTCCATCTACCTCGGCATTGTGGTGTTGGTCCCCTCTGTCCCCTGGGAACAGTGCTGGTGAGGAACGTGTAGCCACCATGGATTCATGTCTTGACGTGTTGGTCAGGACTTCTCCAGCCCCCCCTGGGAGTTTTCCAGCCCTAGTCCTGCGCACCTGTTCCCTTGTTTTTTCCCACACATCTCCCTTCTGCCCACACAGGCTGTGGCAGTGTGGGGGCTGGACACCTTGGCCAGGCAGCCCCTTCCCCGCACCAGGCAGCTCTGAGCTGGACGCGCGATTAAGTCTTGCTTTGTTTTGTTTCTCTCCCCTTATGCTGACCTCAACCCTTTTTTTCCAGGTGTATGAGGTAAGTCCTATGCCATCTCCTCCACCCCATGCCGTGCCCAGCCAGGGCCCTCACTCCATTCTGTGGGACGGTGCTCATAACACTACCCATCCCATCCATCCCACTGGCACTAACCCTCAGCACGGGCCATCCCAGAGCCCCCAGCCAGGCTGCGTGTACCTTGGCTGCTTCCTTTGACATGAAGGCCAAAATATGCATCCGTGTGGAGGGGCTGAACTGCCCTGGGTTGCCCTGAGGCAGCAGGAAGGGCTTGGATGGGGACCTATTGCATGGATGGGCACAGGAAGGCAGGCACTCTTCTGACTCCCTGTAGCCACATCTTTTGGGACGGGGACCTCACTGCAGCCCTGCCTGTGGCCCCGGGGTGTGGTGCTGCCCATCTCTGCATTGCCAGGGCTGGCCTGATGTGGCCCCAGGTGGCTTTGTCCTTGTGGGGACCCATGTGTGTCCCAGTGCTCTCCTGCTCTCCCGCCAACAGCAGAGCCTCACACCCATCTGTTTTTTTTACACTGAAATGCAATGCTTTTGCTTTTGGGGACACACCAGACCAGCCTGCCTGGTGCCTGTGGGAGCTGGGCCGCATCCTGCTTGTTCTCCATCCTTTCTGCCTCCCACCTCCCCTCAGAGCAGGCCCTGGCCCTCCAAGGGACACGGTGTGAGCCCAGGGTGCCTGTCTTGCTGCTCTCCCTCAGGCTGGTGTGGTGCATAAGCTGGACCCAGGCCTGGTTTGGCCCCTGTGCAGTGTCCATCCACCCTCCCTGGCCTCGGCACGCTGCTTACCCACCCACTGCTCTGTGTGTGCTGTGTGCATGCTGCATGCCTGGCCGGGACCCCCGGTGACATCTCGCAGAGGGCTGGCTGGCCCTTTGCACTTCCAGGAGAGCCCCACAGGGCAGAGGGAGGTGTGGGGCTGAAATTGTCCCCTTGTACCAGGAGGCTGGCTCTGCAATGGCTGTGGTGGGGTGCCACTTGCTGGAATGGCTGTGATGGGGTGAATGTGAGGATGGAGTCAGCCCTTCCTGATGGACCAGGGTGCTGGTGCAGTTCCTGATGTGGAGCTGGTGTGGGTGCTGATGGGGAGCAGGGCTGGGGGAAGCCTGGCCAGGACATGGGTCCCACTCTGTGGGGCTGTTCGGTGCTGTGCCCGCTGGGGCTGGAGTGCTGCATGAAGGGCCATGCACCCCAATCTGTGAGCTCTGCCAGCAGAGTGGGGTCAGGCTGGTGCCTTCCCTGGGGCAGTGGTAGGGCACAGTACTGCCTCCGTGATGGATGTCGTGTTACTGGTCCCAGCTCAGACTGCCTGTGAGTCCTGGGCAGACAGGAGCCCTGGGACAGGACCGGGACAGGTCTCTGCTTGCAAGGCTGTACTGTTGGGCTGTCCCTAACAAGAGCATTTCCATCTCCTATAGCTACGCAGCTCCTTCAACAAGGCCTTCAGCATCAAGAAGGGACCCAAATCAGCCTCATCCTACTCGGACATTGAGGAGATCGCCACACCAGACTCATCGGCCCCGTCTTCCCCCAAGCTGCAGCATGGTTCCACGGAGACTGCCTCGCCCTCGATCAAATCCTCCACGTCCTCCTCCGTGGGCATCGACACAGCTGAGTACGTGGGGCCAGGGTGGGTGACACGGGGTGGGGAGAGCTGGTTGTGGGGGCTGCAGGCTTCTGCCCTAGACATGTGTAAGCTTGGCCTCTCCCTTCGCCCAGGCTCTTCCCAGCCCACAGTGAGGGGGAGCCAGAGAAGAAGGAGGTGTCAGAGCTGCGGTCAGAGCTGTGGGAGAAGGAGATGAAGCTGACAGACATCCGCCTGGAGGCCCTCAACTCGGCCCACCAGCTGGAGCAGCTGCGGGAGACCATGCACAACATGCAGGTGAGGACCACTGCCAGAAGCCCAGCTGGTTCTGAGCGTCTGGGTGGCCACAGTCCCTGTACCCCCACAGCCGTGCTGCAGCCCCAGGATGCTGCTGGTGTGCAGCTCCTCACTTTTTGCCGTAACTGGTTCTCCCCCAGCTGGAGGTGGATCTCCTGAAGGCCGAGAACGACCGGCTCAAAGTAGCTCCAGGGCCCTCGGTGGTGCCAGGCTCCGTTCCTGGTCATGTCACAAGCACATCAGCCTCCTCTTCACCACGACGCTCCCTCGGCCTCACCCTTGGCCATGCCCTCAGCCCCAGCCCGGGGGACACAGGTAGGGGTGACAGAGCTGCTGGCAGATGGGGAAGGGCTGGGGCAGAGATGTGTGCATGGTGGGAACTCACTGCTGCTCGCCTGGAGGCAGCTGTGCATGGGGTTCTGTCGTGCTGCTGGTGCCACAATCGGCTGCTGCAGGGTTTGGTTCAGGCTGGGCACGGTCAGGCTGACCCAGCCTCACTGCTCTGTCCCCAGATGTGTCCCCCATGGATGCTGTCAGCGCTGGCACCCAGAAGGACGAGCTAACGCTGCGGATTGTGGTGCGCATGCCACCCCAGCACATCATCAAGGGGGTAGGTGTGGGCTGTATGGGGAGCCTGGCCCTGGTCGTGGCCCTGGACAAGGGGCAGAGGATGCCTCTTCGGGGCTGGATGCAGTGCTCCAACTCTGCACACCTCTGCCTTGGCTCCTAGGACCTCAAGCAGCAGGAGTTTTTCCTGGGCTGGACCAAGGTGAGCGGGAAGGTGGATTGGAAGATGCTGGACGAGGCTGTCTGCCAGGTCTTCAAGGTAGGAGCATGAAGACCCCTCTTATGAGAGCCACCCTTTTGCACTGCTCCACCATGCCCGATGTTCCCTGGCCCAGGTCCTTACCAGGGTCTCCTGGAGGCTGCTGAGCACCGCTTGCTCCCTGACAGCCCTCTCCTTGTCCCGTAGGATTACATCACCAAGATGGATCCTGCTTCCACGCTGGGGCTCAGCACCGAGTCTGTCTATGGCTACAGCATCAGCCACATCAAGCGGATCCTGGACACAGAGCCACCAGAGCTGCCGCTGTGCCGCCGGGGCCTGACCAGCATCGTCGTGACGCTCAAAGGTCAGTGTGGCAGAGACGCTCCGTCACTGTCCCACCTTCCCTCTGTCTCATGGTGCCGTGGGGGGTGAGCAGAACCCTCAGCCCTCCCCTGCCTGCAGGCTTGAAGGAGAAGTGCGTGGACAGCCTGGTGTTCGAGACACTCATCCCCAAGCCCATGATGCAGCATTACATCAGCCTCCTGCTGAAGCACCGGCGGCTCATCCTCTCAGGACCCAGCGGTACTGGCAAGACCTACCTGACCAACCGCCTGGCTGAGTACCTGGTAGAGCGCTCGGGTCGGGACGTCACCGAGGGCATCGTCAGCACCTTCAACATGCACCAGCAGTCCTGCAAGGTGAGGGTGTGCAGCAGCCAGAGCCGTCCCTGTTGGCACTGGTGCTGCGTTCCCCGTTGGCAGCCATACCGTGGTCCCACATGTGACACCCGGCCCGTTTATTGCAGGACCTGCAGCTGTACCTCTCCAACCTGGCCAACCAGATCGACAGGGAGACGGGCATGGCAGATGTGCCACTGGTGATCCTCCTGGACGACCTCAGCGAGGCAGGCTCCATCAGCGAGCTCGTCAACGGTGCACTCACCTGCAAGTACCACAAATGGTGAGAGCCCCACTGCACCCTCTTCCAGCGCAGGCTCCTGCGCACACGCATGCTCCCCTCTGCTCTCTGGGCTCGTGGAGATGAGGATGCACGGCTGCGTATGTCTGCTGTGCTCAGAGCAGCTCTGCCATGGGTGGGGAATGATGCAGGGTGCTTTTTCTCATGAATCCTCTCTCTCTCTCTCACTTCCTCAGCCCCTACATCATTGGGACCACCAACCAGCCTGTGAAGATGACCCCAAACCATGGCCTCCATCTCAGCTTCAGGTGGGGATCATGCATCCCTGGGGACCATCCTCGTGGGGTTGGAGGGGGCAGGGGCCATCACTCCTGCCCCTGGGGAGTCTTGGGGGAAAACATCCTGTGATTTGAGACCGTGGTGAGGACCAAGCCCCAGGCCTGTCTCTGACATCCCAGAAGGACCTGAAGCCCCAACCTCGGGCACATGCGATGTGGTCATGCTAGGAGGTCCCCTGAGGGTGCTGGGGAGCAGGGCAGCTTGTGTGGGGACCCAGCCCTGAACACCTGAGCCTTCCCCCTAGGATGCTGACCTTCTCAAACAACGTGGAGCCAGCCAACGGCTTCCTGGTGCGCTACCTGCGGCGGAAGCTGCTGGAGTCGGACACAGATGTCAACGCCAACAAGGAAGAGCTGCTGCGTGTGCTGGACTGGGTGCCCAAACTCTGGTACCACTTGCACACCTTCCTGGAGAAACACAGCACCTCCGACTTCCTCATCGGTACGGCCTTGCCACACACCTCCCTCCTCTACCTCTTGCTGCTGTGGGCCCCCGGGGACTGGGGCAGAACCATCCCAAAGGAGTTTTGGGGGGCTGGGCTGCTGCCTCACATCCCCCAGTCCCACACAGCCAAAAGCTGCTGGGTGATGCACACAAGTGTTGCTCTTTCCTGAGTGGCATTTGTTCCTGTGCCCTGCGGGAGCTGTCACGGTGGTGCCAGCCAAGGCTGCCTGTCTTACTGGGACCCTTCCTTGGGCACAGAGGAGCTGTGCAGGTCTCCTTTTGCCCCACCATGCTTTTTTTGGGGGGTAGATTGAATTGAGCAGCCCCACTGCTTGCCTGGGAGCTTGCTTTCTGCCTATCTGTCAGGCAGACACTGCCTGGACACTGATCCCAGGAGGTGGTTGAGCCCAGGGCCCCTGCACAGCCAGGCTTGCCCGCCCTGGTGCTGTGCTGCCACAGGGCCAGTGACTGGAGCAGAGGGACCCAGCTCCCATTTTTGCTCTCTGCCTTCCCCCGCAGGTCCCTGCTTCTTCCTGTCCTGCCCCATTGGAATTGAGGATTTCCGGACCTGGTTCATCGACCTGTGGAACAACTCCATCATCCCTTACCTGCAGGAGGGGGCAAAAGATGGGCTCAAGGTACCCAGAGCTGCCTGGCACCTGGGAATGCAAACCAGCAGTGGTTGGGGACATGCTGATGCAGCAATCTGATGGGATGGGGAGAAGGGAGGCGCTGGGATTTTGGGCACAGGTGGCATTGCTGTCAGTCGCTGCCCTGTGGCCACAGTGGGACGCAGCACTGTGCTGGGGGGCTCTGGCACATGCTGAACAGATTGCTGCTGCTTGTTCCCTGCCTGCAGGTCCACGGGCAGAAAGCAGCCTGGGAGGACCCTGTGGAGTGGGTGCGGGACACCCTGCCCTGGCCGTCAGCACAGCAGGACCAGTCCAAGCTGTACCACCTGCCCCCACCCACCATCGGGCCCCACAGCACTGTTTCCCCTCCCGAGGAGCGCACCGTCAAAGACACGACGCCCAGCTCCCTGGACGCAGACCCTCTGGTACGGCCCTGCCGCGCCGGGCACTGGGAGGCGGGCTGGGTGGTGCTAGTGGAGAGCAAGGTGGAGCTTTGCTTTCTTAGTTTTTTTTTTTTTTTGGTGTAAAAAGCCCGATTTGGGGATGCAGAAACATTCTGTGCCCCTGGGAGGAGCGGTGGGTGTGGGGTGATGGCACCAGCAGGCAGGCTGCATGCCGAGGCACATTGTGATGTGCCAGTGATCGGGTGCTCCACGAGGCATCGTGCCCACACGCGCAGGCACACACAGGCTGGGGCTTACACGTGTGTGTCCCCCGGGAGGCTGTGAGCAGGCACAGGCTCCATGTGATGATGCCAGACGATGGGCCAGGGCCTGTCCCGCTGCACTGCCTTGGCATGCTCAGCCTTGAGCATCCCAGCTGTGTCCAAAGCCAGATCCCAGTGATGGGGATTTGCAGCATCTCTGGGCTTTGCTTTACCTTCTAAGGAGCTTCTTGGGGTGGCTGGTTTGTACAAGAGGGCAAGGAGGGCCTGGTGGCCTTGGCTTCCCCAGGGCACCCACGGACCTCTCGGGCTTGGTGCCATGCTCCTCTCCCCGCAGATGGCCATGCTGCTGAAGCTTCAGGAAGCCGCCAACTACATTGAGTCTCCAGACCGTGAGACCATGGTGGATCCAGACCTGCAGTCGACTCTGTGAGGCCCGGACATGCCGGCCCAGGCGGAGGGAGCCACGGCCAGCCACTGCTCCCACCGGGCTGCTCTCCTTTCCCTTTGGTATCCTGGAGCGCAGGGCTGGCGAGTGAGCAGAGAGGACTGGGGCTCCAGCGTGTCCTGGCAGAGCATGGGGAAGCTCAGCTCATCCATGGGAGAGCACGAGGTGCCATCTCCCCTCCCAACCCTGGGGGTAGGAGAATCCTGGTTTCTCTTGGGTTTTTTTTGGGTTTTTTTTTTTTTTTATTTTTTTTCTGTCTCTATTTCAAACTCTTGGGCTTTGGGGCCAGGGCGACCAATGTGGCTGAGCCCCCGCTCCCAGGAGCCGCAGGAAGGCCCCTGCCTGGGGCAGGGACCCCGTGGGAGCCACCTGGGCCAAAGCTGGGGGGTGCAGAGGTGTGTGGCCACAGGACAAGAGCGCAGGCGTAGGGTCTCCAGCCCCCTCTCCACCCAGCCAGGCGTAGCCGAGGGCAGGCGCTGAGGGAGCCGCTGCTGCAGGAAGCACTGGCTGAGGAGGAGCTCTTGCTGCTGTCTTAGTACGTTCCCTGTTTCACCTGCATGGCAGTCGCTGTGACCAGGACAGCCCAATAAACCCTGCTTTGGTTATTTTATTTTGTTCCCCCCTCCCATTTTCCTTTGGCCAAATCCAGACTTCACTTTGGTCCCTTTTTTTTTTTGTTCTGGTTCTTTGCTCTCCTGCCCTGGAGCCCACGGCCCAGTGCTCACTGCTTCCCTCTAAGCAGCTCCCTTTCCCTTTGGTTTCTTTTGCAGCTGTTAGTTCCACCACTCAAACAACCTCTGTCATGAAACTGGTGCTCACTGGACGATCTCCAGTCCCTGAACCCATCCCCTGGGGCCTCACAGCTTGACTGAGATGGGACTTGGCAGCTCGTGGCAGCGGGATGCTCCTGGAGCAGCCCCTTGCCTGGCGGCTCCCCTCTCCCCAAAAGCACAAGGCAGAGCCTGGCCCTGGGGCCGGGGTCTCTCACCAGGTCAGGCTGCCACGGGGCATCCCCTCCCCAAGGCCTGGGCAGGGAGAGGGTGCTGCTGCCCCATCCCCGTCCCCTCAGCACTGCCCCATGTGTCTTGGGGGTGCTGGTTGGGGAGCCATGCCCCTGGCTCCCCAAGGCCCTGTGCCTTCCTGCACCCTCTGGCCTGGCAGGGTGTCGCTGTGCCCCATGTCAGTGCTCGGGGGACGCCGAGGGCTGCCTCGTGTCCCCTTGGCCCTACCGTGGCAATGTCACAGGTGAGGCACCTGGCACGTGTGAAAATCACTTACATCACACGGAGGGGATGAGCTCCGGTGCTGCCACGCTGCCTTAATCCCCGGCTGTGCGGGAAGGGGGCATGGGGAGCTCGGGCTGGTGCTGTCACAGCCCGCTCTGGCTGCGGTGTCCTATGACTGTCCCCAAAGCCAGCTTGTCTGGGATGGGACAGGGGTGCTGGCGCTGGCCTGGGGCTGCTGCCTTCAGCGCTCTGCACCTGCCTGCCCCCGGGCATGGCTGCAGGGTGCTCTGCCAGGCCAGCACCTCCCTCCTTGAGCCCAGCCGGGCTCTGCACCCCCTGCTCCTCTCCCCGGCAGTCCGGCTCAGCTCCCGCGCTCAGCTGGGGCCCTGGAAAGCCTTTTGGGGAGAGGTGACCCCAGGACCAGGTCTGCCAAGCCCATCCTGTCCCCGAGCCCTGCTAGGCTGGGGCCGGGGCAGCCTCAGCCCCTTGCCGTGCCACGGCTGGCGTGGCTTTCAGGGACCCCTCACAACCCCGCAGAACAGGCACCTCCGGGGCCCGGCCCTGCTGCCGGCGCTGCTTGGAGGCAGCCGCCACCTCTGCCCTTGGTGCTCTCTTGCCTTGCTGCCCGGCACGTCCCGGCCGCGGCACCTGCGCCCCATGGTGCTCACTTCTCCGTCTGTCCGACAGCCTCCCTGCCGCCTCCCCACTGCCACCCGGGGCCGGCCAGCCCGGACCCTTTGCACAGGGATCTTCCTCCCCACGCTGGCTTGGACGCTAGGGCTTTCTCTTCGCCTTCTCTTGTGTTGCCACCATCGGCTAAGGACTCGCTGTAAATAGATCTGTAGTCAAACGCCCTGCGTGAGTTGGTGGGGCCTGGCCCTGCGCCTCTTTCCTCCTGTTTTTATTTCTTTTTTTGTTTTGTTTTGTTTTGTTTTGTTTTTTTTTTTTGTACTCTGTGATAACTGTGCTGTGCTGACTTCTTTTCTGATTGTACGAGACACTGGCTCAGCAGCCGCTCGAGGCCAGCGGTGGGGACCCGGCTCTCCCCTCCAGCCCCTCTCACCCTCCTCGGGGCTCCCGTGCCCAGGGCAGGAAAGGGCACGATGGCACCTTTGGGGGCTGCCCCGTGCCTGGGAAATGCTGTGCCCCGGTGCCTTGAGGAGTCTCAGGGGTAGAGGGGGCTTGTGCACCCTCTCGCTTTGCACAGCCTCCAGGGGCAGCCTTGGCAGGCCTGGCTTGCTTTTCTGACACTCCCAGGGAGCCACTAAAACGTCAACCAAACCATCCCCGGCACCAGCTTGCCCGGGGCTGGGCTGCTGGGTGTCCCCCCACCCTCTATCCTGCAGGTTTGCTCCATCCTTCCCCAGTGTGGGGCTGCCTGCTGCCCAGTAACCTCAGCTGGGGTGTGCTGGAGGCGAATGGCACACTGTGGTGTAAATCAGGAGGAATCCCTGTGGGGAATGGGGAGGGCGAGGGCGATGCTAGCAGGTGTGCCCTGGGGCAGTGGGGACTTTTGCTGGGCTTACTGGGCTGGAGGGGTTGGGCCCTGAGGGATTCCTCCTGGCTTACACTGGGCACCCCGTGTCCCCAAGCGTGGCAGCTCTCTGGGGCGGCCAGGGACTGAGCATCCCCCAGGGCTGCCCGTGGCTGTGGGCTGAGCCCCTCTGTCCCCAGGGGGACGGGTCCAAGGATTGCACTAACTCATCCCTTTGCCATCCCCGAAGGTGCCTGTCCCCCCCCCACGGGAGCGGGTCACCTCCAAGGGTGCCCATCACACCCAAAGGTGCCTGCTGCCCCCACGGGTGCCTGGGATCCCCAAAGAAGCCCGTCACTCCCCAGGGGTGCCTGTCACTCCCCAGGGGTGCTGGTGGCCCCCAAAGGTGCCGGCGGCCCCAGGGAGCGCCAGGAGCCCTCCCGAGGGGCTGGAGCTGGGTGACGCCAGCACCTCACCCTCCTGCCCCCTCGAGCTGCTGCTGCCCAGTGGCCTGAACCTTACAATTTTAGCTTTTTTCTATTAAAAACAAACAACCTTTTTTTAATTAAATAAAATATGAAATGGACAAATTCCTGTTTTAGATGATCTGTGTAATTGACTGGGTTTTTTGTGTTTCTTAACTGCATGGTATTCCTGCCGAGGGGTTTTATAGCACTTTTTAAATTTCTCTTTAAGATTTTGGTCCAGATTTCTACTGCTCTCGCCTGTCTGTCTTTGCTTTTTCCTTGCATCCTCCAAGTTTGTAAACTCGTTCCATTTTATACCTGATGTTGAGACCCAACCCCATGTTGTACATAGCTGCGGGAACAATCATAGGGAACAAACACCATCTGGACTTTCCACGATTAGTTGTTTTTACTTAAAAGAAATTTTAAAAGAAGTATAAAAGGAAGCCAGGAAGAGGCTTGAGGATATTATGAAAGACAGAAACAAATCCAGCCCTGCACCAAGTCAGCTCCTGCTGCCCACGCTGCCCGCACCAACCGGCATGTCTCTTCTTAGTCGTCTGTCTAACACCGTTGGATTCAATAAAGTTATGTCCTGTACCGCCTGGCTGCTGGTCCTGTGTCTGGGAGACCGCGGGCCTGTCTCTGCGTGGGAGAGGGGTAGGATGGTCGTGCTTGTACCGCCATTAATATCCCTCTAACCTTGGTGGTCACCCTCCTGCAAAATCCGGGGAGGGTGGCATTGTAGAAACACTCCTGGTTTGAAATGTTGGCTGTTTTGCAAGATGCTGGGAGCGGTTTTAGCGCTTGGGGACCCCTCTCCAAAAGTAGTGCTCCTGTTAAGTCTGGAGCAAGCGTGCAGAAATGCTCCTGGTGTGAAATCCTGGCAGTTCTGCAAGATGCTGGGAGTGGGGGACCCCTCTCCTGAGGCAGGAGGAGCAGATCGTACCCGGAGTGTGCAGGGGGAGCAGTGGGGGGCTCAGGGTGGGTGGGCATCCCCCTGGGCCCCTTTCGCTTTGCCGGGGCTGGTCCTCATCTCCCCTTGGAAAGGGACGTGGTGGTGACAGATGCCACCCCACATCTCCAGCACAGGGGCCCAGACGTGGGACAGCGTCCCTCGAGCAGTGACGGGTGCTCTGCCCTGCGGCAGGGCGTGGGAGTGAGGACAGGGCTGCAGATACCAGCTGAGGGAAGGGAAATCCCAGTCCTCGGGGTGGCTTGAAGCTATTTTTCAGTCCAGAGAGCGATGCTGGAGCGGGGACAGATGCTCCAGGAACCATTAATTAATCACAGGATGGTGATGAGTTGTAGCAGGCTGCAGTGGCGAATGCAAGGCCAGGAGAGGGCACTTCCCATCGTCTCCCTGCTCCCGTCCAGAGGGTGAGTCCAAATACATTGATTACTTGCGGGTAACAATCCTGAACCTAAAGAGTGGGACTGGTTCTGGGGGGCCGGGGCCCCTCATCTGCAGAGGTGTGCCGTGTACATGATCCCCAGTCTGTGCTCGCTCTCTGCAGGCGGGAGCAGCAGAAGGGGGCCGTGCTGGGCGATTTCCAGCCCGACAGCCACGGCGCAGGGCTGGTGGGCCAGGGGCATCGGTCCCCAGGCACAGGGGGGGACGCAGAAGGACCAGCGAATGCTGACGCTTCAATTTCAGCTGGGCACCCGCGTTCGGGAAAACTCAGCTGTATGTTTCAAGGGTGGCAGGCGGGGGGGGGGGGGGGCATCAGTTTGGGAAAGAGCACCCATGGGCTCAGCGCTGTAGTGGGCATGTGGCCCCCCCCCATGCAGGGTCCCTTCCCCTGCCTTCAGCAGCTGGTGGGAGCTCATGGGTGTCTCGGTGGTGCAGGGTGGCTGGTGCAGGGCTGAGAAAGGGAGATGCAGGGCACCCGGGCCTCGTGCAGGGCACGGCGCCTGGCACGTGCAGCAGCACCCTGGGCTACAGCACCCAGCCGAGGCACAGGAGCACCCAGCAGCTTCCCCAGGGTGACCCACAGTCTTTGTGTCAACAGCACCTTTGGCCCCAGGGAAGTGCAGCCCTTTGTCATAGACCCACAGAATGGTTTGGGTTAGAAGGAACCTTCAAAGACCACCCAGTCCCACCCCCCTGCCCCGGGCAGGGCCCCCTTCCCCCAGCCCAGGGGGCTCCCAGCCCCGTCCAACCTGGCCTTGAACCCTTCCAGGGAGGGGGCAGCCACAGCTGCTCTGGGCACCCTGGGACAGTGTCTCACCGCCCTCATTGTGCAACATTTCTTCTTGTCCAATCCAAACCCACTTTAAAACTGGTGCCCCTTGTCCTGTCAAAGTAAAAAGTCTCACTTTGTCTTTCCTATAAGCGCTCTTTATATATGGAAAGGCTACAATAAGGTCTCCCCGGAGCCTTCTCTTCTCCAGGCTGAACCCCCACAACTCTCTCAGCCCGGCCTCCCAGGGGAGCTGCTCCAGCCCCCCCAGCATCTTCGGGGCCTCCTCTGGCCCCACTCGAGCAGCTCCGTGTCCTTCTGCTGTTGGGGGCCCCCGAGCTGGCCCCAGCACTGCAGGGGGGTCTCCCCAGAGCGGAGCAGAGGGGGAGAATCCCCTCCCTGGCCCTGCTGCCCCCCCTGCTCTGGCTGCAGCCCAGGGCACGGGTGGGTTCTGGGCTGTGAGCGCACGGGGCTGGCTCCTGTCCAAATTGTCACCCACCAGTAGCCCCAAGTCCTTCTCCACAGGGCTGCTCTCCATCCACCCATCCATCCATCCATCCATCCATCCATCCATCCATCCATCCATCCATCCATCCATCCATCCATCCATCCCCCAGTTTATTCTGACAGCGGGGATTGCCCCAATCCATGTGCAGGACCTTGCACTTGGCCTTGCTGAACTTCATGAACTTTGCATGAGCCCACTGCTCCAGCCTGTCATGGTCCCTCCGGATGGCATCCCTTCCCTCAAGCATATTGGCTGCACCACTCAGCTCGGTGTCATCCACAGACTTGCTGAGGGTGCACTTGATTGCATTATGTCATTGATGAGAACATTAAATAATATTCGTCCCTGAAGGACACCACTCGTTACTGGTTTCCATTTGGACATTGAGACAGTGACTGTAACAATTTGGACATGGCCATCCAGTCAGGTCCTTAGCCACTGAACGATCCACCCGTCAAACCCTTATCTCCAATTTAGAGGCAATCCCATTTTTGGGGTTATGGGTGAGGTGTCACAGCCAGATTGCACCCAGGGGTGCTCCCAGGGTATGCAGTGGCTTCAGGTAATGCAGCTCCCAGCTGGGCCGGGACCCCGGGACCCCCCTCCCTGATCCGGGCACTATGTCTGGTGTGTGTGAACCCCCCCCCGGCCCCACCTCCCCATCCCTCCAGCGCCATGGGGCTGGCCCACGCCCACCACCTCCTCCAGCTGGAACAGCCTCTGCTTGTCTTGCCAAGCACAGAAGCTGACGAATCTCTGTTTTAATTGACCTGCTCGTTAACGCCAGGGCACTGCGGTGACCTCAGTGCCATCGTGCATGGCTCTGGCTGGAGCAGCCCCTCACCTCCCAGTGTGGCCTGGGCGTCCCGGCTGCAGCGCTGGGACGCGGGCGCCAGCGGAGTGGAAGCGGCAGACCTCCAGCTGGATTTGGGGTGAGCTTCACGGTCCCTGTCCGCGGGTCATCTGCGGGGAGCATGGGGTGCCCCAGGGTCCCCCTCCCCATTTAAGACCCTGCTGATGGGGATGGGGAACCCCCCCAGCCCCTACCGCTGCCCTGAGCTCCCCGCCTGGGCTCCTCACTTGAATCCCATCAGCTTTTTCTTGCTGTTTTGGCCCCAAAGCCAAAGCCGGGGTCCCCCTGGATCCGGGGGTGTCTGGGTGGGGGTCCCGCTGTCCTGTGGCTGCAGCCAGGACCCTGCTGGGGTGGGTGTCTCGGTGGCCGGTGCGGGAGGCTCCAGTCAAGGTCATCGGTGCGGGAGGGGGTCCCGGGGCGAGGTGACCCCCGATGTTGGGGGGGGGGGGGGGGGATGGGGGAGGCGAGGAGACCCCCCCCCCATGGGGGCGGGGCCGCGCCCGCATGAGCCGCGGGGGGCGGGGCCGGGGCCAGGTCTGTGGGCGGGGCCTCGCGGCGGTGGGCGGAGCTGCGCGGAGCCGCCGCACGCGAGCCCGGAGGGGCCGGGGCTGCCGCAGCGCCGCGCCGGTCCCGCCGCCCGCCCGCCCGGTGAGGAGGGTCCGTCCGGTGAGGAGGGTCCGCCCGGTGAGGAGGGTCCGCCCGCCCGGTGAGTGTCCGCCCGCCCGGCGAGCGTCCCCGCGCACTCCCGCCGAAGTTTCCCGCCGCTGCCGCAGCGGTGCGGGCTCTGCGGGACGGGGGTCGCCCGCGCTCCCGCCCAGCCCGTCCCGGGGGCCGCTGCCCGCGCTGCGATCGTGTCCTGGCCGGGGTGGACGCGGCGGTTGCCCCGGGCTGACCCGCTCTCTGGCGACCTCCCCGCCGTGTCCCGGGGCCGGGGCCGGTGCTTTCCGCGGGGTCCCCTCCCGGACCACGGTTCCCGGCGCCCCGGGGCTGCCCCGTGGGGTGGTGCGCCCCGAAGGCAACTGGGGACAGAGCCCGGGGGGATGGAGGTGGGTGCAGCCACTGGTGCAGGAGGCTGCGGAGCTGGCGGGGGGCACTCAGGGGCGTGGGACACCCCTACCCCCCCACCCCGGAGGTGCGGGGACACCCCGGGGTGCAGAGCCGAGCCGCCGGGTCAGAGGTGTCCTCTGGGCGCCGGGGAATGCTCCAGCTCCGCATCCGACCGCGGGTGCCCTTGGGGTTCTAGCTGTGGGGGGGTGGGGGGGGTGGCGTGGGGCGCAGGGCTGTCCCCGGTGCAGTGCGGGGGACGTGCCCCGCTGCTGGAAACCAGTGGAAGCGGCGTGGCCGTGGTCGTGGGCGGCCGCAGGCCCCGCTGCACCGGTGGCTTCTCCGTAGTGGCCTGGCCAGGAGCCAGCTCCAGCCAGTCCCTTCCCCGCTCTGAATTTCCCCGCCGTGGTTGTAGCAAGCTCTGGGACCCTCCTTCACTTCTTGCGCGCTCGCTGCATGCTGTCGGGGTGCAGCGGTGAGGAGGGGCTCACCCCAGAGCTGGGGGCGTCAGCGTCGGGGTGCTGCAGCCTTTGCACCCACGGCTGCGTCGGAGCAGCACCTCGCTGCTCCCCTGCAGCCTACTTTTAAAGAGGGGTGGGAGTGATCCTGAAAGAGCTGTGCAGGGGACAGGCAGTATGGCAAGGTGGCTGTGGCACGGGGAAGGGGACACACGCGCCGGTGTCACACGTCATTTCGTGGTCCCCAACTATGCCAGGTGCCTTCTGTGTGTCCCTCTGCACTGAGCGCTCCTCGGTGCAGTGCTCTCCTGCCTTCCAGGTGAGAGTGGCTGGGGCAGCGGGTGCTGCGGGGTGTCACCCACTGCAGGATGTCACCTGCTGCAAGGTGTCCAGCAGCAAAGTCCGTCCCCCCCCCCCCCCGTGCTGTGGCAGCCGCAGGGCGCTGAAGGACTCCCCGCCTGCTCTGCAGCAGTGAAAACTTCAGTCCTGGAGCGGAGGCTCTCATTTATTGTGCGCCGAGGTGCTGCTGCAGCTATGTCACTCCTGTGCACGCTGTACGAAAGCGCAGCCACCGGCAGGAGTCGTCTCCTGCCTGCTGCATTATCCCTCGCTAGCGCAGCGCCTTGGCTGCGCGCTGCCGGGGGCTGCCGGAGCCCCGGGGCACCCTCGGGGCAGCCGGTGCTCTGCGCCTTTGCTGCGCTCGGGTGCTTTTGGCCGTAGTGTCTTGGTAGGAAGAAGCGTGGCTTGTCTGTGTGCCACGGAAGCGGCGGGGTGCCGGGAAGGTGATGCACCCAAGGTCATTAAGGCCAGCAGTGGCAGCAGGACATCACCTGTGCTGCTTGGGAAGAGCACAAATCCAGCAAAACACCCCACTGCCCCCTCAAACCCCCAAACCCTCTCGGAACGATGCTCTGTCCCCTTCTTGCATCTAGGTGAAGCGCAGAAAACGGGTCTGACCTTGCCCAATTACCCAGCAAAAGCCCACCTCTCCCTCCCAGTGCCTCACGGCCGGCGCTAGTGCCCCGTTTGCTGGGAGCCGGCCCAAAGCCCCAGTGCCCCCATTTCGGCAGGGCAAGGACACGTCCCTCGCCGCCTGTTAGCCCGGCGGTAGCAGCAGCAGAGAGCCAGCATCGGCTGCACTGCATTGCTGCCGGCAGCCCTGGCTCTGCACCCCTCTGCCACGCGGCGCCCGGCGCAGCCTGGGGTCACGGGAGCAGGGAGGACACACGAGTATATCCTTAGATATACGTGTGTATATCCATATATCTGTGGTTGGGGAAGGGGGTTGCCTTTCTGCCGGCGCGTCGCCCGCGCAAAGCCGTGCCCGCCGGGCGCGTGGGGGTGGCGCAGCGGGAGCGTTTGCTGCCGGCTGCTCCCGGGGGAGCTGCCTCCTGCCCAGTGAGCCCTGGGCACGGCCACTGGGCTTGAGCTACCGGCCACCGAAGTGAAGCCGGGACTCCTGCTCACCCCCTGAGGAGGAGCAGGCCCTTCCTCCAGCTCAGGGTGGTTCTGGCAAAGTCCCAGCTCCGGGAGCCGGATGACTGCAGCTCCTAATTACGACTGGAGTTTCTTCTGCTCCGGGCTGCGCAGGAGAGCTGCGAGCCAGCAGCCACAATGTCCTCCAGCAGGATGGATGCCTGAAGCAAATAGGTGGGACCCAGTGCCTGCTGGTTTTCAAACCTTCTATTTTTTTCCTCCCTACCCCCGGCAGTGGAGCTCGGCGCTGTGCCTGGCTGTGCTTCTCCTCAGCCCGGCGACTGCCGGCGCTTTGCCTGTGCCAATATCCGGAGACGCCAGTAAGTGCAGTCTGGCAAAATGCTTTTGCCCTTGGCTGCAGTCGGCCTTTCTCTCCCGGGTGAGAGCCTGGCTGCTTCCTGGCTCGTTCCTGTGCCGGGCTGTGGCTGCCCTCAGCTCAGCTCCCGCCAGAGCCCGCGTTCCCCAAAGTGCTGTTTGATTATTAGCCCTAATAATTGTGTTATCGCATCGACTGAAGTGTTTCAGATGCCAAAGCTAATTTTGCTCCTCATGCCTTCCTTCATCAGTAATGGGATTTTGATAACATCACGCGTCTAAAAGTATTGGATAAACTCGGCATAATTCCCCATTTATTAATTAAACCGTAAATTAGGCAGCATGCGGCTGGAATCCGAGATGCCCCATACTGGTGTAATCCTACAGCCGGGCACAGTGCTGGCCCCGGCCCATCCCTGCCAGCCCTGGGGTGTGGGATCCCAGTGTCCCCCCCCGCGCTTGGGGGCTGCCACATCGCAGCAGGGACACCTGCCCCATTGCTCCCCGTGTGCTGGAAGTCAAGTGATGTTTAATCTGCTCCAGTGCCTGGAGGAGGACTCGTGGTGCCACTGGATTTTGCTGCTGGTCAGGGGCTGGCAGAGCTCCCTGTCACCCCGCTGTGGCTCTGCTGGTGCCACAGCCCCTGTGCCGGGGCTCTGGGAGGGAGGAACCACAGCTGGCTCTGGCAGCATGTGCAGCAGTGCTGGGCTGTGCCAAATTCCTGCTGTCTGGCCCCGCACCCCACTCCCCCAGCACAGTCAGTTGTCTGACTGCACTGGATCCATCACTGCTGACCACCAGCAGCTGGACATCTGCAGCCCCATCTGCCTGGAAGGGGCTCCTGGTGCTGTTGGGGCATCCTTCATGTCGTGCATCTTAAGGAAATCTGGCGTGTTTTATTTAATCTGGGGTGGCTTTTGCTCTCCGGCTCTTCCCAGCCCCGCAAGGGCACAGCAGATGCAGGCTTTGGGCTGGTGCATCCCCAGGGGCTGTGGGGAAGCTGGGAGCAAAGCAGGTACTTGTGGCATGAGGTGCAGGTGGGTGCTGGCGGCAGATGTGGTGCTGTGCTCGGGCATGTCCAACCCCTGAGGCCGTCTGAGCCTGCGCCGAGCTGGGGGTGGTCTGGGGGATTGTTCCCACTGCTGGGGGGCCTGGGGAGCTGCTCCAGGGCTGGGCTGAAGCCACGAGGATGGGCAGAGGGGATGCCCAAGATGTGCTGGGCTGGTTTGGGGTCATCAGAGCTGATCTGGCAGCCGATGCTATGGCAGCGCTGGCGTGGGTCAAGGTGTTCCCCACTGCCCATCGACCTGCTGTGGTGCCTCACACCGAAGTGAATCTGCCAACCCCCCCCCCCGGAGCTGGGACCAGCCTTCAAACTGCTCAGCGAGGTCGCGGCAGGCCGGGGGAGACGCTTCCTGCCCTCTCCTGCAGGACACGGGATGTCCCCAGGGCCGTGCTGTGACCCGGCTGCTGGGACTGGGGATCCCGGAGGTGGCACTGCTGCTCCTGTGGGCCTCGAGCAGAGGAAAACAACCCCGAATTTCAGAACCGTGCACGCATTTAGAAGCACGTGGATGCCCTGCAGGGCTCTGATGCTGTCTCACTCTGCTCCCAGGGGAGTTACGGGGTTTTCTGCTGGGACTGAAGCCTGGGGAGAGCGGGGTTAGTGCCTGGGGCGAAGGTGCCGGCGTGTGCCCGCTGCTGCCCGCGCGCGAGCCCTGCGTTGCTGCCAGCAGCCTGGCGCAGCCGCTGCCTTGTGCCGCAGTGAGCTGCGGTGTGGCCGTGCCAGGCTCAGCCGCCGGTTTGTGCTGCGGGAGAGCTGGATGGAGACTCTCCCGGTCTGGTGGCCCTGGCTGCGGGGACCCCTGGAAAGGATGGTGGCTGCCAGCGCCAGCCCAGCCGGACACCGGGAGCTGGGATGCTTTGCAGCTCCCCAGGCAGCTGGGCCCTCTGCATTATTCCAAGGGGGGAATAACCTTCCCCGGGGTGCGCCGGCAGTGCAGTTCCTCTGTGCGGCCCCAAAAGCGTGTGCCGTTCCGCTCGTGACCCCAAAACACCTGGAGCAACGTAGGGATGCAGCTTGGAGGGGCCAGGGAGGAGCAGAGGGACCCCCCTGTGATGTATGGGGGGGCCTTGCCCACCACCCACGCTGGGCTCCCGGCTCTCATGGTGGCTTTTCTCCATCTGCAGAAGGTTTATTTGTGGGAGTCAGTTCCTGGTGTCCTGTCCTTGGTGGTACTTCATGCCACAATTAAATCCCCCTGGGCTGGCATGGTGCCGCGTCCCCACTGATGCCATCATCGTCGTGCCTCCGCCGTCCCCTTTCTCACCCCAAATGCCACCAGGGCAGGTGGCCCCGGGATGCAGGGCCATACTCTGCCTCCAGGGCTCTCTGTGCCTTGGATCTGGGCAAGGAGCCACCAGCATCACCCCCGGAGGCAGCTGGTGTCCAGGGACTGAGCCCTGGCTGGCAGGGAGGCGGGAGCTGCTGAAGGTTGAGCATCGCTGGGGGCTCCCTGGGGGCAGGAGCCAGTTTTCTGGATTTCTAACACCATCCCATCACCACCCCGTGCTTGGCTGGGTGCTTTGGAGATCTCACTGGGCACATGGGGCCTCAACCCTGGAAATGGAACCTCGTGGCTGGCATCTGCTTGTTTAGCCTGTTGTTTGTTTATCTTGGGAGCAGCACAGGACGTGCACTCCCCTGTCTCCCATCTCCAATTGATCTGCCTCATTTCAGCCCTCTCCTGGAG